CCTAAGCCCTAAAACCCTAAGCACCTCCAGGGAACGCTCCCAGGAGCTCTCTTCGGACATGGCCTTCAGCACGCAGCCCACATGCAGGCCGTGGGGCGTCCAGCGTCGCCTGGGCTCTTTGGGTAGGGTTTAGGGTTTAGGGTTTAGGGTTTAGGGTTTAGGGTTTAGGGTAGGAACTTTTGTGCTTCAAGCTACCGTAAGAAGGAAACCCCACATGATTTTACTGTAGATCCCTGTTAAAATTATGGTGACATCAATTCAACCCTAAACCCTAAACCCTAATTCCTGTTGACCTAAGCCCAAGTCGCTGCAGGCACTGGGCCAAAAGACCCAAAGCCAGCTCCCAGCGACACTCCAAGGCCCCCAAAGCCGCCGCCAAGGTGATTGAATCCATCCGCAAGCCTTTCTTCTCCTGGGAAACTTCTTAAAAAGGTATCGAATCTGAATTCTTTGAGCAGAGATCCATGCAAAAACACTGGGTTTTTTCCTGATTTTATGGCAACTGACAAAAAACAAAACACCTCAAACTCCTTTAAAACAAGAGCCCGGGCTCCACCTCGGAGAGAAGCCACAAAGCCTCGGCCCAGCGTCCCAAAGCAGCTCCCAGGGCGTGCAGGGCGGCGTTCACGGTGATGATGCTCTTCGGGATGCTCGCAGCTCCCATGTCCGCCAGAAGGCCCAAAGCTACGTCCGGGAAAGCCTCGCAGGCCCGGATGGCGGCGTTGAAGGTGACTTCGTTGGGCTCCACCCGCTGCCGCCGCATCTCCCGCAGACTCCCCAAGGCCCCCGCCCAGCGCGTCGTGCGCTCGCAGGCCGTGACGCAGACGCTGAAGCTGAAGGCGTCCGGCTGCAGCGCCGCATTGCGAGCGCGCTCGAGCAGGCCGGCACCCTGTTGCCACTGGCCGGCAGCGGAGCACACGCCCAGCACCTGAAGAGAAGCGACAGAACCTTAAGAGCCTCAGACAGTGTCAAGCTCAAGGTAGAGCGCTCCAGAAAAGCAAACTGCCAAGCACCGTGTTGTAGAGGCGAAGATCCGGCAAAATGCCCAGGTCGGGGAGGCTCTGAAGCAGGTGCATGGCCACTGCCCATTTGCCACCTGGGAAGGAATGAGGCAAAAAGACCGCATGTTGCGAAAAACCCAGCTAAGTGGTCCGTGCAGAAGCTCAAGAGCTTTTTGCTACCTACAAAGATCCCTTGATATTCTGAAGATCTCTCCTGCGAGCAAGGACGCCGTGAACGTGATTTCTTCTGCATAAGAAAGCCCTCTTCAACTCCCTACACAACCAAGCAAGAGAGCACCACTAAAAAGAAATTGCACTGATAAGCAGAACCAAGCTTTGGCACTTAACTAGAACAGCATATGAGACGCAGCGCAGGCTTTGTACCAGCCAGCAACGGCAAACGGACAAACCACACAACTCCCCTCGTCCAGTTGCAGTCCGATGCCCGCGGGCCCCGGAGACACGCGCCTGGTTCACACGAGCGAATCAAGGCATCAACCACCAAAGCATCCGTTGGCACGGACAGGGCGCTCATGTCCTGAACAACTTGAACAGGTCAGAAGAGCGCTTCAGTCTCTCGGCGAACATTACCTTGAAAGCCTGTCCGGGCCAGCCGGTGCAGCCGGTGTAGCATGGACTTGTACGCCCACAGGGCCCGGATTCTATCCCTGAACCTTGAATCGACAAAGCAGTTACCCAAGTCTTGAAACCCATAAAACCCTAAACCCCAAA